AGGATCAGACACTCAGCTAGCTGGATGGGGGAGAGAGACTAAGCTACAATACTAGCACTTTGGATGCCTGGGTAGTGGCATGACATCTCTGGGCCCTGGTCCTCCTGGGCTTGGTGAGGACAAGTGTGGGCCTGTAGCCCCAGAGGCTGGACTCTTCCTGCAGCAAGATGGAGCTGAGCTACCCGGTCGTGGATGAGACATCGGGCACCTGAGGGCAGTACTTTGGTTTCGCTCCAATAAACCTTACAGCAATTGCTGCCATCCTCCTATGTGTGGGTCTCTGAAATGTTTTTCCTGTGGCTCTGTGGAAGAATCCTATTTGCACGGGCAACACAAGGACAATGGGCCAGGTACAGGAGGTCACCAGGGCGGAAAGCCCAGGGTGCCTACCCATGGGCAAAACTGAGAAAACAAGGACGTCGCCCCCAGGGTGACCTTTCCTTCCCTTCATGCAGTTTGGACCCCCTGACTTTTCACATCACTGGTCATATGGTTTAGACTCTCCCTCGGCCTTTCCTCCCCTGGCATGTTGCTAGTCATGGGTAGTTCCTCTTGAAGAAGCAACAAGGGGGCCAAAGAGTGGCCTCATGTGACCCCCATGCAGGCCCTTGTACAACCCCTTCCTTAAGCATCAGCCCTTAGGGATGACATCTAGGACCCAGTTGTGTTTCAGCTCCGGGCCCAGAAAAGCAGCACAGCCAGACAAGTAATGCCATGGCTGACCTCAGGACCAGCCACACTGAATAATGAATGACCCCTGCCCTGGCCCTGACCAATCAGGGGAGACCAGGACCCTTTTGAAAGACCACTCCTGAAAAGCTGACGAATATTCTATTGAGATCCTCTCCTGGGACCCCACCCCCTAAAATCCCCACCCTTCAAAGCCCTAAGGATGGAGGACTCAGCGCACTCCCCCTCTCAGGAGCACACCCAGGCCTCTCCCACGCTCCTTTCCTCCCCCCAAGCACACTGCCTTTACCCTCTGGCCTCCTAAGCTCCAAGCCACCGCCCCCTTTTTTGCCTCTGTAACTTTTTTCCTAAGGCAGCTTACTTCTACAGCTTACTTCTCCCACTTCTGTGACTTTCCAAATAAACCTTCTCTTACGGTTCGAGTCTTGGCTCTGAACTCTTTCTTCTCCAGAATTCAAGTACGGAGGTTGCTGAACCGAAGTCCAGTCTGACTCCAGCGTCTGACGCCGTGGTGCTGTGACCGCCACCAACAGCCCTGTGCCTCTCATCGCTAAATCATTTTTCAAAATTATAGCTATTTTTTCATAAAAATATTACTTATACTAACATATTAGGAGCTTATTTTAAACAAATTATTTTAATAATTAAATGATTAAATACTTCCTTAAATATCTATAATAGTTAAAATAACATTTAAATAATGAAGTAAATTTTAAATAAATGAAGACCTAATTTCTCAGCTTTAATGTCTAATATGGTCTTGGTAGATGTAACACACATAAACTGATGCTCTTTGGGACCCTCAATGACTTTTAAGAGTGGGAAGAGGTGCTGCAATCAAAAAGGTCAAGATGCCGCACTAATACACTTTGCTTGTGGAACATACAATTGGAAACTGTCTCATGCTGTGCTTATGAAATTATTCTTTTATGTGCCTCTCGTCTCCCTAGACATTGCTCAGTAAATTCATTTAGATTCTGATCAGTGGGTTTCCTCTCAAACAGTAGGTTTGTACTTGTGACCCCAGCAGTGAATGCAGGTATCTCTCCTCTGGCAAACACAGCTGATGGTGGTCTCATCTATCTCGAAGGGGTCTTTAGAATCTCGAGAACTATCTCACTGAGAAAATGTCACAAACAGTCAGGAGAAACGATGGCACAGGTTAACATCCCGCCAGCAGGTGAGCCTCTGTTATGAGACACAGTGCCAGAGATGCCCCGGAACATAAGAGACACCCGCCAGTTAAGATCAGGGCCAGGGTGGTACAGCATTCCACTCCCCACAACAGCTGACTCACTGACTGAAGCTCCTGTGTTACAAACTGCTCTTTTATAAAATGAGCAGGATGACAGCAATTTATTACTCTGAGTACCGACAATTTGTATGCAAGCCAAAAATAACTTCAGAACTAATTCATATTTCCACCATGCTTTTAGAATATAGAGTAAGGCCATTTCTCTACTTTTGGCAAGACTGGAAGCCCCAATCATGAAATTTAGTTATAAATCTCTTCTTCCTGTCTGGCATCTGAACGCCTGGCCAGAGGCCTACTCTCAGATGACCGCAGAAGATGCTGGGGAACAGTCAAAAGTGCAAAGTGCTGAACAACTATTTTGCGCACAGACTCTCCCCAAGGAAACGCAGTGCTTACACAGAGCTGGCCTGGAGCACAGGCTGTTCAATCCTCTCATTTTCCTTCTGGAATTTGCCCAAAGAATAGAAACCATTAAGTTTATGTATGCAGTTTTGTAAGTGCCTAGTTTATAAAATGTTGCTTAATTTTTAAAAGATGGCCAGGATTTCATCCTGAAAGCCGAAGACACTCACCTTGAACTCTGCTTTTTTTTTAACTGAAGATGAAATTCAATTAACATATAATTGGCTTCTAGTAAGACTTTCTTGGATAAAATTTTTCTGATAGCTATAAATGCTTAGTACGTTTCTGGTCCTAGTCGACTCACTTAGTCTGCCCAGCAACTCGATGAGAGAGAGACAATAATTACCCCCATTTCACAGATGAAGGTGCAGGCTCAGTGTGGCCACGCGGTTTATGCACGGCAGATGAGACTAAAGAACAGAGGGACAAAATGGAGTCACTGCAGTTAAGCTGCCAAACTACTATCCTTGTTCTAACTAGCCTAGGAACTAGAACTTGAACTTTTCAGTCCTGTGTCTGTCAATGCCAGGAAATACAAACCTCCAGATAAGCCTCTGGTTACCCCCTGAAAATCCAAGGAAAGAATGTTCATGTATCCATACCTCCTGGCATCTGGTAGTTAGACCACCAATCATCTAGAGCAGTGATCCCAGGGACTGGTTTTGGCACCAGGGACTGGTTTCATGGAAGACAATTTTTCCATGGACCGGGGTCAGGGGGATGGCTTCAGGATGATTCAAGCGCATTACATTCAAGCTCACCTCATGTGGTGTGGCCCAGTTCCTAACAGGCCCAGACCAATACTGGTCCAAGGTCGAGATGTTGGGGACCCCGATCTAGAGGATTCCCTTCTCAGACCAATCCAGAGGCTAAGAACGCAGGACTGATTCTTCTCCAGGATATACTCTCTGTTGGAAGAAACCATAGCTTTTCTCTCTTCTTCAGAACACTGTAGATAGGTATTGCCTGGTAGTATTTCTGGTTCGCAAGCTCTAAGACCCTTCAGAAAATATTTATCATTTATTTCTAGCCAAAGCCTCCTGATAGATTCATTAACCCTTGGTGGAAAACTGGAATCCAGGAAGTTAGTCCCCCTGAACTCCTAAACCAGGATGCCGCCCTGTCTATCTGAGATGCATGGACGCTAACCTTAAATGATTCACAGTAAGAAGATATCTACTTCTGTGGGGAAGAGAGGGGTTTTATGCCCCAGACCAGCCTTTATTTTTAAAAGACTTCCCTATACTCTGGTGCGTTAGGTTCCATTCTCTGTCTTCCCCACGATACCACAACCACAAAGTATTTACCTGCTGACACTCCTGCCTTCCTCCTAGCCTGTGCTAGTATCTTCCTGCATGGTGCCTGGAGCAGCAGTCACTGAATGAATGGGTGAAAGAACCAAGGAGTGAGCACACAAAAGTGAACCTCTGCAAATCTACTTAGTCTCCAAGAAGATTAATTGACAAATGAGTTTGGTACAACCTGGAAAGTACATAAAACACCCAGTGGGATGCAGGAAAAAAACATTAGCAAGTCTCTCCACTAACATCTACCACGTGGGTGGACACTGGCATCCTTACTGTTACAGGGACAGACAGCCACCCCAGGGGCCCAGCCCGGGCATTCCTCAGTGCGCCCCGTGAGCAGGGGTGCCCTCACCTGTTTGCTTTCTGTAGTCTGTACCAAATCACAGTTTACAAGGGCCCAACTGAGAAAGTGGCTGTAAGGCTTATATTTTCCATTTTTTCTGAACTAACCATCCCAGAACAGGCTGTAAAAAAGTCTTACACAGAACTGCAAAAAAAAAAAAAAAAGGAAAGCCAAAGACAATGCAACACAAATGAACAGGAAAATAGTGGAGCTGATGACATTTTTATATGAGAAATATATAATGACCTGTATTTCTCATATAATATTTTTCTTAGCCACATCATGAGATATAACAATAACAAGCTAATCAGATCTGGCATGAAGCTGGCAAAACACACACATGCACACAGCAATAAGGACAACAACGAACCACCCAGCAACAATCAAACTTAGATTCCTATCCACTGTTCTTGTGAATATAGTCCTTGCCTAAGGGAACATCCTGCCTTGGAAAACTGGCTGGTTGCATTTTTACACAGCTTATAAATAAGTATATTTTTATTAACAGCATCAGAAATGGGGAGTTCACTGACCTAGAACTGGCCTCTCCAAGGGCGCTCTGCAGAGAGGCCAGCATCAGCATCATCTGGCAGCTCACTGGACACTCCGAGTCCTGAGCTCCGCCCCAGCCCCACGGGAGCAGAATGTGCATTTTAACAGGACGGCCAGGTGATTCATGTACACATTTCTGTTTGAGAAGCACTGCTTTAGAACACACTCCTTAAATGATCTAAATCCTAAAAGTTCAGCTCTTATTTATACAGTTAGATTTCTCTTTTGAATTTTGACTTCATAAACTTGCAATTCCTAATATCTGTTATCAAGTGATCTTTAAGACTATAAAGAAACTATCCCCATAAACCAGAAGTCCAGTGAAATAATCTGCACGTAACGGCAGCATTACCTCTTATTCATGCCAGCATAGTAAAATGAATGTCTGGGCCCCTGTGCAATACAAACCATCCAGCCACACCTTAATTGTTTCTCCCCAGCCTCCACTTACTTTTGTTTGATCGTCAGCTTTGAACACATAGCAGATGCTCCGCCTACTGGCCGCTTCGTCCTTAATCAGACAAGCAAAGTAACTTGGGTCGTGACTGTTGTGGATCAGTTTGTGCACGTGCTGGGGCTTACACTCGAAGATGCTGGAGCAGATCAGGGGATCCCACTGCTGAGCTCTGCCCGGCTCGGGTTCACATCTCAGTCCCGAGGGCGAGACGCAAAGCCGGACTTGCTTGGAAGCCGGCTCCTTGTTGGAGGCCTGCGCGCTGCGCCGCCGCACTTCTGCCACGACCCACGGTAGCATGGGCATGGTGGTCAGAGAATGCACTGGCAAGGAGCCCACCAGCTGGAGCCCGAAGTCCACCCGGGCCTCCGCGGGGAGCGGATGTTTCCTCGCTGTGAATGTTATGGGTTCCATCGTGCGAGGGGTCTGGAAACTCAGCAAAGCGCTGCCGCTCTTCTGTTTTAGACCAAGCAATCTATTTTACGTGCTTCTGGTGCAGAATCCTGGGAGGGAAACACAGAGGCATCAGAATTTGATGAAATCACAGCAAGAGCTACTTTCAAAGGATTATTAGTTCAGGAGAACTTCAAAGTCTGAAATCCAGCTTGGGGTAGTAAGCATGCAATACAATATACAGTTGATGTATTGTAGGATTCTATATACCTGAAACCTATATAATTTTATTAACCAGTGTCACCCCAACACATTCAATTAAAAAAGTCTGAAACCCAAACATAGGAAGAAATGGAGATTTGTTCAAATAAGCCGAGAAAGAGCTTTCTTGAAATTGAATTTCATATAAAACCTGAATGTGCCATAAATGTCATGCTTACGAACGGGTTACAAAGATCCCGTGGGGGAAATTCTTATTAAACTTAAGCTTCACAGGGCCCACAAAGGCAAGCTCTCTAGAAAACAATGTGATACTACTCGGACAGCTTGAAACACTGTTATATTACTTCACCTATGCTTCAAGGAGTTTAAGATAACCAAATTCAGTACTGGTAATTGCCGCCCCTTCCCCCCCCACCCCACACACACACACAAAAACAGCAATCTCACAGAAAAAATATCAGCTATCCATCATCATAAACTAGACCAGTTTTAACACCTTATCTATTGCTTATGATACCACTTAACTTTCAAAAGCCTCTCCCTAACATAGTGCAGAGGTTCTGAATCACAAATTCAAATTCCATTAACGGGTCCTCAGTGCCCATTATGTTCCGAACACCGTCCTAAATATTGTTTTGTTTCGTTCACGTGCGCCATCATCCCAACACCTTGCTAGAGGATGTTGCTTCTACTAGAACCAGACTCTCTCAGCTGCCTCCCCTCCGTGTGTCTCACTTTCAACACCCGTATCCCACATACCCTAACACCTTCTTGTTCCACTGCACGCCGAAACCCTTCTGTTCAAGGCTGAGTTGCCTACAGCACCGCAAGCCCTACTCTCTGCTCGTTTGCCCCCTTCATACGCATTCTCGTATGTGTTTCCTGAGCACGTATGCACATGCTGAGGACCCAGACCAGGGCCACACCTGCCTGATTCACCGTTGCATCCCTGGTGCCTGGCACAGCGCCTGGCTCAGAATAGGCTCCCATAAATATTTTACAGAAGTGCATGAAGACTGTCCTAGCCTAAAACTAAAGGTATCTCCAATAGACTCCAAACCTCCTCCAGCCACAGCTCTTTCTTTTCTACACAAACATCTGCAGGATAGAGTCTCCGCTGTCTCCACTGTCCATCCACAATCTGGACTCGGACCAGAAGCACTGAAATGGCTCCCGTTCAGATCGCCCACATCCTCTGGTTGCGCAACCCACAGGGGGCTTTTGAGTGCTTAACTGTCTTGCCCTTGCTGGTGAATTTCTCAATGCTGACCATTCCCCTTCCTGCTGAAAACTTCTGGTTCTCATCCTTCCTCTCTGGGTTACTTCTTTTCAGGCTCTTCCACGGCTTTCATTCCCTGTTCCCCTCATTCCACTTGCTTTCTTTGGAAAATCTCACCTAATCTCCTGGTGTCAACAACCACATTCCAATTCTGCTGCTGCTGCAGAGTTTACTTTAATTAGGTACCAGGCATTCAGGCATGTGCTATCTCATTTCATCTTCATAACGATCTTCATCTCTGACCTTAGTACCAGTTAGAGACCATGATTATTGCCACTTTTGTGACCGAGGAAACTGAGGCCTAAAGAGTTCTAGTTAGTTGTCACTGGTGACTTGAGAGTCTACACCTCATTTTCAACCCGTGCTCGTGAGTGCTGGCCAAGAATACCACATACACCCTGATGATTCTCAAGTGTTTGTCTCCCATTGAACCTCAAAGAATCCCAGATCAGCACAAGCTATGAGGTATTTCTCTCCGGATAGCCTACAGGCACCTCAGTCTCCATTTAGTTATTTTAAAATTAATTCAGTCTCACTTCTTTCGTTTCCCCTTTCCAAAACTTCTCTTCCTCCCTCTAAGCTATATCTCTGTGATCAGCAACAATACTTATTTTATTGACTAAGCCACAAGCAAAGGAGTCATTGCTATAGACTTAAGGTCTGTGTTTCCCCTCCCCAAATTCGTATGCTGAAATCCTAATTTTCAATGTGATGATACTAGGAGGTTGGGCCTTCAGGGCAATTAGGTCATGAGGGTAGAATCCTCACGGACAGAGTTAGTGGCCTCATGAAAGAGGCCCAGACAGCTCCCTTGCCCCTTCCACCACATGAGGACACAGAAAAAAAGATGGCAGTTTGTGAATGAGGAAGTGGGCCATCACCGATATTGAATCTGCCAGAGCCTTGATCTTGAACTTCCCAGCCATCTTCTGTTGTTTACAAACTGCTCCGTCTACCGTATCCTGTGTAATGCAGCCGGAATAAACTAAGATAAATCACTCAGATTCCTTCTCCGTCTAACCATCACTTCTAAACTGACTCGACACCTTAACATATCTTTTCTCGACTGGAGACAAAAAAATGTCCCAACCTTCAATCCGTCCTTCACATATATGTCCTAAGGTAATTTAACATACACACAAAATTGATCCTTACTCCTCTGCTAAGAATTCCTTAATAAGTGCCCACATAAAATCTAAAGTCTTTTACATGGTATGTAAGGTCTCTTCGGAATCTGGTCCAACTCTGTGCTCCCCTCAGATGCCTGCCTTCATGCACCTAGTTAGGGTTTCCTGTGTGAGATGTGTTTCTCAGGTTTCTGTGCCACAGAGCATCCTGTTCCTCTGTCCCAGCAACGCCGGTCACAGACTGTAAAGGCTCTGAGCTTTTAGCAGGTTAGCCTGCCACAGCTAGCCTGCTGGTGGGAGACACGCGGTACCCGGGTGTGAGACAAAGGACAGTGTATGACTCAGAGCAACAGCAGCAGCCAGAGAGGCAGCACTTGTGTCAGTTCCCCGACTCCCGATTCTCCTAGGCCAGGTGCACCCTGTATCCATGCTGACCTACAGGACAGACACCTGAGCATCGGGAGCCCAAATATTTCATAATGGGGAGTAAGCGGATCTGCCCTTTGCTCCAGAAGGAGACACTATTTCTGGCTTCCATGGCTGTTTGTGAACTTGAAGAAAAGGAAGTTCAAAACAAAGGCAGTGAGAGCCTTGTCTCACAAGTCATGTAGAAACACGACAGACCCCAGGCAGAATCATCGCCCGAGGACTCCCACTCTGGTCCTCTAAATACTCCCAGCACACATTTCACATATAGGCTAAGCAACTCCTACCTCCTCCTCGCAAGGTGGGTTAGGGCATCCGCCACCACGATCTCTGTGCTTTGCACCTGATCGTCACGTCTACGTTAGTTTGAAGAGGTGTCTGTCAACAAGACTGCAAGCTTCTTAAACCCGGAAGGTTTGGGATTTCTGAAACAGTATTGAAGTTCTAAACCTTTTCTGAAACAGAAGTCTCTCCTCTTGACCCTTGTATTTCTATATGATATATATGCATATATGCTAAGAGTGAATTTTACAACATAATTTGAACATAGCTTAGAGCTAATTTTTCTTTTAAATGTTCAAAAGCTCAGAAGTAAACCCCTACTTTAGTAGAGCACTAGCGCATTTCATGCAAGTGTAGTGCCTGTCTCTTTTCCTTTGAAGTACAGCTTTTCCTGGTGATGAGAACAGGCTTGAAGTTCATATAACCCCATAAATAATGGTCTCGCTTGTTTCCCTCTCTCTCACCTACAGGTGAAAGTGGCGTTAAATGTCTGGGTTAACTTCCACCCCTGTAACTGAATCTGTTTCAGATTTACCCGCTGACAGCTGCTAATCCTAAGACATGTTTGAAGAAGTACTAGAATTATGACAAGGGTAGACCTGAGACCTCTCAGTCAGTGCAAAATTCAGGGGTGTCCAACCTTCTGGGCCACACTGGGAGAAGGAGAGTTTTCTTGGGCCAGCCACACACTAAGGAAACTAACACCAGTGAAAAATGATATGCAAAAAGAAAAAAAGATTTTAAGTAAATTTATGATTTTGTATTGGGCCACATTCATAGCCATCCTGGGCCACACGTAGATAAAAACCATTATTAATATGATGGCAAAACAGTATCACAGAATTACTTTTACTTTTCTTATAAGAGAATATATACACAATGCCCAAAAAATATACAATTTAGTCATTTCAATAATTTGGTAAATAATTAGTCATCAAATAAGTTCTGCCATTTCATAGACAAAACTAAAGTTTTCACTGTTAGTGTCTCTGAAAAAAGCAGATTGGACCATAATACTATTTATGAACTATGAAACAATAAGTGCTATCTCAGACATGGCCACAATTATTTATAAGCAATCCAGATTCTGCTGACATAAGATTCATAATAACAGACTAGCTAACCATTTGTATTACTTTTCAATAAAATACTCCATTAAACAGATTAACTATTCAAATAATACTAACAAACAATTGGATTATTTTTTTAAGCTGTCTCTATCCACATTATTCGCACACAACCTTCATCTTCAAGCCCCAGGTTGAACGACCTATTCCAGGAGGCCCCTTGCACCTCGTCCCCTCGGTGAGACGCACTGTGACCTGCTGTCCCAGTGAGGTTCAGTTGTGCTCCCGCGTGTGCAGCCCGATCACTTACAGAGACCATCTGCATTCTATCCAACTCCTACCTGCCGCTGTCCATGAACACGGCGCGCACCAGCACAGCTTCCAGTGAATCCTGCTAAAAATGTTCCTGGAAGGCTGCACTTAGGATTGTAACATTTTAAACCTAGAAAAGGTCCTTTAAAGCCATGTAGGAATTTCCCTCATATTTGAAGGGAGGAAACCGGGCTCTGGAGAAGTTAAGTGGTTTGTCCAACCTCGGGGACAGAACTAGGACAATCCAAGTCCCTGACTCCCATCCAAGTGCCGCACAGAACCTCAGTTTCCTCCTGAAAACACGTTCGAGTGTGCAGTTACGAAAGCAAGTTGCTGAATGTCTCCAGATTTCAAGTTGACTCGTATGAGAATGGAACGGGATCATCCCCAAGTTT